ACCTCCCTTCCTGCAATTTAAGCTCTTTGCCCCTGACTTGTGACGCTATTCTCAGAACTGATCGCAAGTTGGGGGCAGCCAGTACTGGAATAAATTGCCTAGGGAGGATGCAGAATCTCCATCATTGGAGATATTTAAGAGCAGGTTAAACAAACACCTGTCAGTGTAGGGGACTGGACTTGATGATCACTGAAGTTTCCTTCCAGTTGAATGATTCCGTGATTCTACCTCTTCCTAGTTGGCGTTTCTGCATTGGTATCAAGATCTTCTTCTTCTTCTTAGATGTTTGCTTCCTCGGTTGTTGGCTCCCTGTTCAGCAATTATTTGAAATGTGCTGTCCTGTGCATTTTTTGTTCTTTTTCTTTTGTTAGTAGATGGTCTTGTTTGTCCCCGATGAGAGTGTTTATTGGTGTCTGCCATTCATCACTATTCCTAAGTATTGCCATAATATAAATAAGAAACAAAAATAGAAGGAATCCTTTTGATCATCTTGTCAGACCTCTTGAATACCACAAGCCAGAAAATTTCACCCTTGAGTTTGGTCAGCAGAATATTAGGCCTATTCTTCATTTTTACTGTTGTTTTAATGGTCCTAAGAACAAAGGCCCTGCATATTGATGTGGGGAAAATTATTTCTTAGCTCTGAAGGTAGAACCCAATGTATAGCAGGTGATGAGAATGAAAGAAGTATGCTACATTTCAAGCTGAACATCCTTCTCACTGTATTTGCTAGTTGAGATGGTGTTTTGATGCGCAGGAAGGAAAATAGCTCTATGTAAATGTATCTCTCTTCATTTCTTTCTTTCTCCAGCTGGTCAGCCACAGTCAGGACAATTCCTACCAATATGCAAAATATGCAGCCACACAGGGCACCACAAAATTTGGGGCACCAAATTGCCCCAAATTCCATGGTGCCCTAAGCAGCAGCATGCTTGGATGAGGTGGCACCAGCTCCTGCAGTCATCCCCAACCCAGCCCACTTTATTCCACTGGCTCCCAGCCACCTTGCTCTGCTTCCTGTGGCTGGTGAATGTGCATGTAAAGTTGAAATAGAAACTTTAGGTGATCTTGATTATATGGAGAGGGATTACGTATGCCAATAGAATATGCCATAGGCTGTTCCTGTGAACGCTATCAAAAGCCTTCTCAAAGTCTATGCAATTTATGTAGAGTTGCTATTGACATTTGAAGCATTGTTTTATTATGTTTTGCAGAGGGAAGATGTGATCTGTGTATGTATGTCCTTTCAGAAACCAGCTTGCTCTTCTCTGAGAACCCTACCAACTGTCTCTATGAGCTGGACTATGGTCTTATGCAACACTTTTTTTGACATGGATGAAAGTGTGGTATCACTCCAGTTATTACAATCATGGAGTAAACCTTTGTGGGCTATAGTAAAGATTCCAAAGAAAGAAACTCTCATCTGGCACCTTTTTCCTTTCTCAGACTGATGTAAATAGAGAGGCCAGGATACATGCTACTAACTCAGGATTTACCTTGAACAATTCTGCATTCAAGTTATCTTTGCCAGGAGTTTTCCCATTTTTTAAGAATTTGATGGCTTGAATGATCTAATGATATCTTTGTTTAAGTCTTCACCAAGAAGTTAGGTGGCTATTGGATACTAAAAATGATCCAACAGCGTGACACTGTTGCAAAAAACAGCAAACAGGACACAAGAAGTAATTCTTCTGCTCTACTCCACACTGATTAGGCCTCAACTGGTGTATTGTGTCCAGTTCTTGCAGTACAGTTCAGGAAAGATACGGCTAAATTGGAAAAAGTCTAGAAAAGAGCAGCAAAAATTATTATAGGTTTAAAAAGCATGACCTATGAGGAAAGATTGAAAGAAATGAATTGTGTTTAGTCTGGAAAAGAGAAGACTGAGAGGAGACATGATAACAGATTTCAAGTACCTAAAAGGGTGTTACTAGCCGGAGGTAGAAAAACTGTTCTCCATAACTTCTGATGATAGGACAAGAAGCAAAGGGCTTAAATTGCTGTTAGATAGGTTTAGACTGGACATTAGAAAAACCCCCTGTCATTTTAAGTACAGGAGGCCTCCACTTTACGACGGCCCAATTTATGACCCCCCGCACTTATGACCTTTTCCATAAGTGTGGAAGGGGCAGAAATCCCCTGACTTACGTCCTAGTCTCCACATTTACAACGGCGTATGATGCCTGTTGTAAATGCCGGCTCGAGTTGTAAATGCGGGGGGTCGTAAATCAGGCCGTTATAAAGTGGGGGCCTCCTGTACTTAAAATGACAGTTAGGAAGTTTTTCTAATGTCCCATCTAAACCTCCCTTCCTGCAATTTAAGCTCTTTGCCCCTGACTTGTGACGCTATTCTCAGAACTGATCGCAAGTTGGGGGCAGCCAGTACTGGAATAAATTGCCTAGGGAGGATGCAGAATCTCCATCATTGGAGATATTTAAGAGCAGGTTAAACAAACACCTGTCAGTGTAGGGGACTGGACTTGATGATCACTGAAGTTTCCTTCCAGTTGAATGATTCCGTGATTCTACCTCTTCCTAGTTGGCGTTTCTGCATTGGTATCAAGATCTTCTTCTTCTTCTTAGATGTTTGCTTCCTCGGTTGTTGGCTCCCTGTTCAGCAATTATTTGAAATGTGCTGTCCTGTGCATTTTTTGTTCTTTTTCTTTTGTTAGTAGATGGTCTTGTTTGTCCCCGATGAGAGTGTTTATTGGTGTCTGCCATTCATCACTATTCCTAAGTATTGCCATAATATAAATAAGAAACAAAAATAGAAGGAATCCTTTTGATCATCTTGTCAGACCTCTTGAATACCACAAGCCAGAAAATTTCACCCTTGAGTTTGGTCAGCAGAATATTAGGCCTATTCTTCATTTTTACTGTTGTTTTAATGGTCCTAAGAACAAAGGCCCTGCATATTGATGTGGGGAAAATTATTTCTTAGCTCTGAAGGTAGAACCCAATGTATAGCAGGTGATGAGAATGAAAGAAGTATGCTACATTTCAAGCTGAACATCCTTCTCACTGTATTTGCTAGTTGAGATGGTGTTTTGATGCGCAGGAAGGAAAATAGCTCTATGTAAATGTATCTCTCTTCATTTCTTTCTTTCTCCAGCTGGTCAGCCACAGTCAGGACAATTCCTACCAATATGCAAAATATGCAGCCACACAGGGCACCACAAAATTTGGGGCACCAAATTGCCCCAAATTCCATGGTGCCCTAAGCAGCAGCATGCTTGGATGAGGTGGCACCAGCTCCTGCAGTCATCCCCAACCCAGCCCACTTTATTCCACTGGCTCCCAGCCACCTTGCTCTGCTTCCTGTGGCTGGTGAATGCGGAGATTCCACCCATTCCCTAAGCCCCCTCTCCCTTGAGCAATGTGTCTGAAAGCTGCAGGAATGGAACAGTCTGGGGCTGGGTTGCTCTGTTTCCCATAACCACCAGTGAATTTGAGGTGGGCGCGAACCCTGCTTTCTCCCTGCCCTGCTCCAACCCCTCTCCCCAGCTCCTGAGCCCACTGCTCTGAGTTCAGTTCTCCCCCATTGGACACCAAAATTTCTAGGGACATTTGGCCACAGGCTACCTGTTCCTTCCCCTTTTTCTTTCTCAGCACAACCAGAACCATTACAAAGCTTTGACTCTCCAGGGAGTAACTGCTCCAGTCATTTGGATCAGAAGCATAACAAAATCTGAGGTGTGTTCTGCCCCCTGCTGGAGGCATCAGTGCTCTGATACCTGCTACCTATGGGTACGTCTACACTGCAACACTATTTTGAAATAACTAGCGCTATTCTAACTAACTTAGTCCACGGCTACACAGCAGGTAGTTATTTCAAAATAGTGTCAAAATACTGTCAAGCTGGAGGACTTCTTACTCCAACTCCTGTAACCCTCATTGTATGAGGAATAAGGGAAGTTGGCGGAAGAGTGCTCTATTTCAAAATAAGTACTGTGTAGACCAGTGGTCCCCAACCTTTCATGGCTGCTGGGCATCCGGGGGTGGGGCCGCTCACGCACCACGCTTCCGGGGGTGGGACCACGTATGTGCCCTGCGCCTAGGGCCGGCACCGTGCATGTGCCTCGCACCGGGGGTGGGGCCAGCCCAGATGTTTCAGCGGGCGCACATAAATGCCCCAGCGGGCGCCATGGCGCCCATGGGCACTGCGTTGGGACTACTGACTTATGCCAAGAGCAGTGCCCTGTAACACTTCACAGGGAGGAAAAAGGAGAGACTATCGGGCTGGAAGCAGCAAAGGATGCAGACAATGTCCTTTCCATCCCTAACAGAGATTTGGCCTCTTTGGAGGACATGCATGATTCCACACATTTGGGAGTCTCAATTTCACTTACTCATAACAAGTTTGACATCAAATCAGTTTTATGGCCACAAATAATTAGGATTATAATGTTGAAAGAAATGAATTGTGTTTAGTCTGGAAAAGAGAAGACTGAGAGGAGACATGATAACAGATTTCAAGTACCTAAAAGGGTGTTACTAGCCGGAGGTAGAAAAACTGTTCTCCATAACTTCTGATGATAGGACAAGAAGCAAAGGGCTTAAATTGCTGTTAGATAGGTTTAGACTGGACATTAGAAAAACCCCCTGTCATTTTAAGTACAGGAGGCCTCCACTTTACGACGGCCCAATTTATGACCCCCCGCACTTATGACCTTTTCCATAAGTGTGGAAGGGGCAGAAATCCCCTGACTTACGTCCTAGTCTCCACATTTACAACGGCGTATGATGCCTGTTGTAAATGCCGGCTCGAGTTGTAAATGCGGGGGGTCGTAAATCAGGCCGTTATAAAGTGGGGGCCTCCTGTACTTAAAATGACAGTTAGGAAGTTTTTCTAATGTCCCATCTAAACCTCCCTTCCTGCAATTTAAGCCCTTTGCCCCTGACTTGCGACGCTATTCTCAGAACTGATCGCAAGTTGGGGGCAGCCAGTACTGGAATAAATTGCCTAGGGAGGATGCAGAATCTCCATCATTGGAGATATTTAAGAGCAGGTTAAACAAACACCTGTCAGTGTAGGGGACTGGACTTGATGATCACTGAAGTTTCCTTCCAGTTGAATGATTCCGTGATTCTACCTCTTCCTAGTTGGCGTTTCTGCATTGGTATCAAGATCTTCTTCTTCTTCTTAGATGTTTGCTTCCTCGGTTGTTGGCTCCCTGTTCAGCAATTATTTGAAATGCGCTGTCCTGCGCTGATCTGCTCCAGCCTGGGTGCTGCAAGAGGCAGGTAAACTATTCTTTTTAACAAAACAACCCCATCTCTCCACCTAAACTTTAGCCTTCTTGTTTCATAAGAACACCATTTGAAGTACAGCTAACAGGAAGGAAAGAAGGAATTCTACCATCCCACTTTGTCCCTCCAGTAAACTGACCTCACAGCTACTGTAACAAAACTCACAAGGCTAGTATTGATCCAAAGCAGCAGCATCAAGACCCAATGCTTTTGGAAAATGACTTTTCCAGAAAAAGCACAGGAAGAAGAAGGAGCCCAAACCAACTTCTTCTCACAGGTTTACCCACTACCTTCAGGGACAAGCTGCAAGGTGAGTACCGCACAGAGAGCTTGTCAAGAGTTCTTAAGAAAATCCTCCTCCTCCTCAGTCTCATAGTCTATAGTACTGAGGAACCCATTAAAAAAACCATGCTTACTCCAAGCAAAGATAAGTACCATATGTAAGTAGAAATCTGGCAGCTGCTGACTGAAGTTATAACAGGAACAAAGGGAAGTGTCTATCTGTGCAAAGGCAAAACCCGGCTGACAAAAAGCAGACAGATACAATCTGTAGCTATTCAGCAATTGGACTCCAGCTTGGTACTTCATAAAGCAAGCTGTGCACTTATCAGAATGATAGATTATTGGTTAAGGGAAGAGTATGGGTATTGTTAATGGCTTTGGGTCTATTTGAAAAGCCATCTCTCTGCTTTGGTGCCACAAAAATGGTCAGTAAACGCGTGTGGGCTGAAATCCCCTTGATTTAAGAGGGAAGGAACTGTTGTCAGGGAATTTTTCCACAACAGTCCCAAGTTTAGAATACATTTTCCAAGTTTCCTACCTTAGTCTACAACAGCCAAATCTTTCTGCCTCCAGAGCAAACCACAGTCTCTCATATCTTCTCCCAGGATTTTGAAGAATGAAGGCTGAGCTGAGGTTTAGGATGAGAGTATTATGACCTGTGACCAATCTCCCCAGTTTTTGGAGAGAAGGTGTTCGTGTGGAGAAGAGACAGTTTTATGGCAAAGGTGTGTTTTGTTCCTGATTTTGGAAGATCTTAAAAAACCTCCTTGCATCCAGAGAACATTTTCATCAACCTTGAATTTGAGCAGGTTTCAGATCTTGGCTCCTAGGTATCTCCTCTTGGTTTATAGATTGGAAGAATGAAATGTATACTTACTTAGTCCTAGTCTGTTAATTTTCAGTCCATAAAAGCTTTAAGGTCTTTAAGTTTAAAATTTTTTGAGCATATTTAGTAAGGTAAATCAATATATGTTCTCTGATATTGCTCTATCCTATTATCCTATAAAAACCCAGTTTGTTTTAGATTAGTGAATAACTCCTTTCTTTAATTATTTCTAGATCTGTGTAAAAAGGGTAGGCCTTTGAGTAGCAAAACAGACTATTTCTCCCACTTGATAAGCATTTCCTCCAGCAATAATGTCATAATTTGAGAGGTTATTTAATTTTCCTCTGATTTAAATCTTTGATGCATTTATTTGTTGTCTTTATGACAGCATAACATATTGGACCTCACTGTGATGGAGTGTGGTCACAGAAGACACCCTTGGGGGAGTTTCCCAGAATGCTGATCAGAGGCACACAGGTCCGATGATGAATACCCAAGGGGGGAAGGACAGAACCAGGTGGACAGTTTTATCAAATAAAAAATATGTATTTATGACAGTGGTGAATTTATAGTATTTATTCTAAGATTTTTAATAGACCGTGTTAATAATGAATTTACAGTATTTATTATATTCTATGATTTCTAGTTAAACGTGTCAGAGATATAAGGATGGGAACGGCAAGGGGAATAGTCTCTAATCTTAAAATATCCAGCTACACAAATTAAATAACAGTGATAACTACAAACTCTATGTACTACCCAAAACAACTACAACACTAAGCTTATACAACAAGAAAAAATCAAATCATACATATCAACTTACACAGCACACAGAACATTTCACAGATATCGGTTCGGTTGCGAAGGCCTTGGTTACGCCCGAGAGTCGGGGGAGGTGGCTGGTCGGTTGATCAGGCCAGCAGCGCTTTGAAGTATACGAGAAGGCACACGCACGGTGGTACGTGTGTTGCGAAGACCTCCTAGAGCGAACTGTGCCATGGGTATATATCCCCAAATCTGCACGTCGCTTTCCTGCGCTTGCATATTACCATATATGGCCCAATGGTCACCAAGTGGGGGGGTCTGTGTCCCAGGGGTTGGGCCGAAACTGTGCAGGTTTCATGCGACCAGGTAAGCCCCACAGTTCTCACGCCAAGGTGACGGGTGGGAGAGTCTGAGGCTATTTTCCCCTTTTCACACCTTCCTTTTTTCTAAAGGCAATGGTATGCAGGAAGGGTAGGGCCGGTTTCTCCCAAGGAGTACCGCAGCCCACTATAGCAAGAGCGGCCTGGCCAAACTTTTTTACTGGGGGCAAACATTGCAAGTGTCCAGAGATGCTTTTCTTTCACTCCTTATCCATTCACATCTCATTCACTCAACAGGACAATCAGTTTAGCAAAGGGAGGAGGGGGGCTAAAAAGTCTACAAGATACAAGGTTTCTATGTAAAAAGGCTTCATACAAAGTTTCTATGTTCTGTAAAAGTATACAAGGTTTCTATAAAAGGACATAATACAAGAAATGAAAGACTTATTACAAAACTAAAAGGGCTTGATTCAAAGTTAAAATAAAAAAAATCAATGAGAAAATGATTAATACAGAGATTAATGAGACTTACCTATAGTTGCATTGGTATGGAGGGGACTGAGGTGCCTGCTCTGGGGAAGGGGTATTGAATTGGAATGGGGGTTCCTGGCTCTGGGGCAGGGGTGAGTATATTGATTTTTTAAAATACCTTAAATTTATATTTAAGTTAAAACTCATTTTATATGAGCAAATAATTTTATACATCAAATTATTGTATTATATTAAAACAAGACCTGAAAAATATTACTTATTTTTTGTAAATAAAAGATACTTTATAACAAGAGGAAAAACTTAAAAAACAATAATCTGGTAGCACTTTAAAGACTAACAAACATGTAGATCATGCATGTCAAACTTGAAGCCCTCTGAGGGCCACACAAATGGAAACTGATAGCTTTCAGGGACATCAAAGAGAATGTACTTCTATAGGGCAGTTGTAATTATTTATTATTATAAATTATGTTTTAGGTATATTTCATAATATTTTTCAGGTCTTGTTTTAATATAATACAATAATTTGATGTATAAAATTATTTGCTCATATAAAATGAGTTTTAACTTAAATATAAATTTAAGGTATTTTAAAAAATCAATATACTCACCCCTGCCCCAGAGCCAGGAACCCCCATTCCAATTCAATACCCCTTCCCCAGAGCAGGCACCTCAGTCCCCTCCATACCAATGCAACTATAGGTAAGTCTCATTAATCTCTGTATTAATCATTTTCTCATTGATTTTTTTTATTTTAACTTTGAATCAAGCCCTTTTAGTTTTGTAATAAGTCTTTCATTTCTTGTATTATGTCCTTTTATAGAAACCTTGTATACTTTTACAGAACATAGAAACTTTGTATGAAGCCTTTTTACATAGAAACCTTGTATCTTGTAGACTTTTTAGCCCCCCTCCTCCCTTTGCTAAACTGATTGTCCTGTTGAGTGAATGAGATGTGAATGGATAAGGAGTGAAAGAAAAGCATCTCTGGACACTTGCAATGTTTGGAGAGAGGTGGAAGCCAGATTCAAGAACAATAAGAACAATGGGACCTGTGAAGTAAGCTCATTGAAAGAAGGCTGGACCTATGGATGCCTTGGGAGTAAGCAGAACTTGCCTGCTTTTGGAAGGTTCCTTTTTGAAGGTGAATGGGGGAGCATTAAAAAGAAAACCACTCAGAAGAAGGTGCCATAGATGAATAACTGCATATGTATATGATGACTCTCTGCATGAGAGGGAAGACACTATACATCTGTAAGGCATCTTGCAGTCAACATGGGAGCATTGATCTGGCTCCAGTCCCCCTCTCCCCCACCTAACTAATCTGGCCAGCAGTTAGGTGGAACAGCTATTGGTGAAAACAAGACATGTATGTGTGCTGTATTATATGCACAGATTGACTGCTATGTGTGTATTACCAATAAATATGGCATTTTGCCTTTTCCCCAAAAAAGATCCGATGCAGTACTTTTAAGTATAACACAACCATCCCTGCCCCAAAGCCAGCCCCCCCATACATTCTCCCCTCCTCCCCCCAGAGCAAGGCACCCCCAGTGCCGGAGGGAGCATTCCCTCAATCAAATTTTTCCCACTCCCTCAGCCTAGCACTGAGGAACATACCTTTCTTCAGAGCACTGCTCCTCCCACCCAGCTGGCTGCTTTGGCTTGCACTTTGGAGAGAGCAGCGCCAGCAGCCCCAGCAGCACTTAGCCGGCAGCTCAAGAGCAGTGTGCGCTTGATGCGCACAGCGTGCACTTGGTGCGCTCGGTCCCACACCAATCTGGTACCCCCCTAGCGTGGCGCCCGGGGGCAATTGCCCCCCTCCGCTTCCCCTTCGCTTCGCTCTGATGCTGACAAAGCTACCTTCACTTGCCTCCTTCCTCTTTGGGGCTTCTTACTACCCTGTCCTGCTGGGCCAAATCTCCTGGTCTCCCACAGCCATAGCACAGAGCTAAGATTACCGCCTGTTCCTGAAGAGCAATACAAACACTGAATCTATTCAGGCCTGAAGAGAACGTAGTTTCAAGCCCAGCTTCCAGGAGTCCAACCCTCAAATGGGATCAGAATCCCAAATAAATCATTCGGACAACCCCCCATTTAACAATGAAAGGAGGATGTACACACTGATTGCTCCCCTGGTAACAATTATTTACACTGGTCTTGATAGTAAATAAAACTGATTGATTTAAGTACAGACAGTAGGATTTAAATGATTGCAAGTGAAAACAGACAGAACAAAATGAATTATACATTTAAAATTACAAAAAACACATAGCTAGTTCTCACACTTATTACAAACTTACCCTAAAACTGTTCTTATTTCAGCCAAACTTCCAAGCCAGAGAAGATCTTTTTCCCTGGGGTCTCTGGTTCATTCTCTTGGGAGTGACATGCAAGCCAAAGACAAAGGGACTGCTCACTTCCCACTGTGTTATAGATTCCATTTTTGGTGGGAACTTGGCCTTCTCCCCCACCTTCTATGGAAAATTACCTGATCAAACCCTATCAGTTGAGGTGATCACATGCCTTACTAGGACCAACCACTGCTAAGACTTAAAGGACAAAAGAGACTGTTTACAGGTTATCACCTAGACATTGAGGAAAACACCCTTGATGGCTTTCATTTGCACATCTAAAACCATAAACCATTCCATACTCCATATTTCTAACTTTACACACCTGAACGATACATACACCAAAATAAGATATACAGATCCAGAAGACAGGGTGTGTATCTAGACTACATCCCTCTTTCAACAGAGGGATGTAAATTAGACACTTCGAAATTGCAGATGAAGCCGGGATTTAAATATCCCGCACTTCATTTGCATAATCACGTAATGGCGCTCTTTTGAAATAGCGTTTTTTCGAAAGAGCTCCATTATGTGATTATGCAAACAAAGCACGGGATATTTAAATTCTGGCTTCATTTGCAATTTTGAAGTGTCTAATTTACATCCCTCTGTCGAAAGAGGGATGTAGTCTAGATACAACCTGAGACATTACAACTGATAGGTTACATGAGGCATTTTGTCCAAAGTACCTTCTAGTTATGCATGTCTGTGTCCATAAGTCACAGCTGAAACTGTCACACTTTCTTAGCTACCTAGGTTTCCCTGATAACAATAATAGGTCTTCAGGACTATCACCCATGAAGTTCAAAAGGAGAAACTTACACAGATGCCCTAGTGTTCTTTTTACACAGATGCCCTAGTGTTCTTTTCTGTCAAAACAGCTAGCATACGAAAAGTAATCACATTCCCTGGAATCCCAATGGACAAGTTTTCTTAGCATCTTTTACAGAGCATATTTTAAACATACAGCCATGTTATTAGTGCCAGAATGGCAAAAGTACTTTTGTGGTTATTTGGGACCAGATTTTCAGCTGATATAAGTTGACTTATTTTTTTCATGGACAATCTCCAGAGTAAGAATTAGTCACAGAAGAAATTGTCAAATAAGAAATATATCTGAAAATGTTGGAGTTTGAGGACAGTTCACAAAAGAAGAAAGTGATTGGTTATTTAATAAATTACTGATTGTGAATTATTGGCCAAATGCTATAAATAAAATAGGGACAAAAGAACTGCCATCTTGTGACAGACTAGTAGTGGTACTTTCTGGTCTGTATCCTGTCTGATGGCTAATACCTGATGATTTAAAGGGAGGTGAACAAATTCTATAATGAATATTAGGTAGTAATCTGTCAAGAGTAATAGTTCTTAACCTTAGTTTATTCTTGGCTTATGCCTTGCATCATGACACCAGAAATCTCAAAACAAATCTAATTTATTTGCCTCCCCCCTACTATGACCTTATTCATAAAAAGAGGAATCAAAACTAACTTCTAGAATCCACTTATATAATATGCCTTTTTTAAAGCAAATCAAGGTATTGACATGGCAGTCCCAGAGAATGAAGTCCTTTATCCCATATAACACATACAGCAGCATA